TATTATGCTTGGTTAGTTTAGAGTTGGAACAAGGATGCAGGAATATGTGGTGCATCTGTAAAGATATTCGGTATGGCCAAATACATATCGGCGCCTCCATGTTTCTGATGTTGGTGGAGGGTAGCATGCTGGAGCCTGCTGTGGTTGTGCATTTTGGTTTTTGCTGTTATTCTTCAAAGTTTAAATGCACCTTGGTTGTGAAATCCCTTGGAATATGTTGTGTCAAGGAAGTATGATGCTCAGGAATTGACTGGTTATGTCATATATATTAATTTTTGTGTGTGGACTACAGAGCTTGCTGCAATTTTTCTAACAAGAAAGACTCATTGATAAGCTGCAAGTTCTCATTATGATGCCATTAGGCAAGCATTGTTCATATTGACAAAAGTCAAGATGTCAAGGTGTGTGTTTTATCAGAAATTTAGGCTACAAGCACAAGTTGAAATGGTTGTTTTTTATATTGCCTGTACTTGCCTAACAACATCATTTAACTATTACTTCTTGACATACTGAATTGCAATGATGCTCCAAAATGTGAACTTCTGACTCAGCATGCAGAAAAAATGATCTTAAGATATTTTTTGCATCACTCAAAGTGATTGTGGTGCTATATCCAGGCATTTTTAGTGTTTGTTGCATGGACACATACTACACACACCACACTATACACATGTGATGCATGTGTCCCCCTATAACACCTGGAAGTTGAATGTGGCATGATTGGATGCTGTGTGTGTGAGAGGATTTCTCTATCTACCAATTTCTAGTCTGAAGGTCATGACTTAAGTAACTTGAAGAACCCCAGGTCAATTTTGTTCAACTTGCACACAGGTCACATGTAGACTTTGATCACCTCAGTCTGGGTGCAGGCAGGCAGCTGTTGTGTCTGAGAAGATATGCATAAAGTTTGGATGGTGTATATTCTAAGGCTACTAATTGAGAGCCCCTTCTCACGGCAGAGGGGTGCACCTTGATCTTGAGAACCCCTTAGGCCATAATTGGAAGCTATCTAGTCCCATAACAGTCAAGCATTGACTGATATGCATGCCACAGTTCTACCTGCCAAATTTCACCATTCTGGCAGTCATGAGTTGGTGAAAATGACAAAGAGGTAGCATGTTTTGGTCACCTCCCACATGTGCAGTGCAGCCCTTACTGGCTGGATTCTTTAGAAACTGATCACCAAGCCACCCATCCATCTGTAAGCTTGTTCCCACACCAGACTGTGCCCCCTGAGCATCTGTCATTGGGCTGCAAAGAAAAGGGGTGCAAAGGTTAAATCTGTGCACTATGCAAGCATCTCACATGAAACATCTTCACTTGAGTACTGTCAGATAGCTCCGGTAACTGTCTCTCCACTTACTGAACTTCAGTGGGCTAGCTCACTGTTTACGGCACTGAGAGGCCCCAATTCTTTGCACGTGGCTACACGTGGCTATGGACATTCTGTAATCCTGATCACGTGAACTCTGTGGAGGCCCGGCGAACGGTACGCAGCACGCGCCACGCGCCACCGATCAATTCGAGACCGGCACGGCAGTCCGTCCGCAGAGCTGGCGCACAACATCGTGTCATTCCTGGTGCGATCCGTCAGCGCGCGTTGGCATACCTCACTCGAAGGCTTCGTCATACATACATGCAGACAAACATTGGATTCTAGACTTTTACAATCGATCGCTAGGCACCGCCAGGTATGAAATCTCGTTTCGCTGAAAGCGTGCCAAGTCATGTTCTAGCTCTGTCGACGTTGATGTGCAAAAAGGCCGACTTTTTCAACTTGACTCAGGTGGAGGCGACGATAGCGCACGGCCCTGATGTCGCAATAAGGCTCCGTTCCAGTTTTATGACCGCATGACATGGTGACTGACTGGCCTCAAGGCTGCACCGGCCCCAGCAGAGAGCGGAACTTAAGTCCGCCCCAGCGGTAGCCTCTATCACATCTTCAGCTTGATCCAAATGGTCGCTTTGCAATCCGTGGAGAAAACGCTAATTTTTTGTTCGTCTTCTCTCTGCTTTTGTTAGGAATTGTGAAAAGATCAAAGTAGGTTTGGCTGTACTTAACTCTTTAAAGTTTAATGGAAAACTTAATGTCAAACTTAAAGGACTATCTCCACAGGCACACAAAATCACACTGCCAATAGGTTTTACACCAACAATAGGCCCCAGGATGTCATGCTGCATGCTGTGGGTGGCAGGGGCAGGGGGGGGGGGGGGGGGTGGCGGCGAGCCCCCAATGATTTTAGTTTGTTGGGCCTATCATCTCAATGCATATAACTTGAAATCCACTGGTATTGTCCTTGGGTCATTTTCGTGAAGTCAGCTCCTGGCAGCTCACAATGGTTTTATCTGCAATCTTTGTCGGGCGAAAAAAACTAAGTTCCACTTAGGCCGTCCGAAAAGACGCAAGGAGATGGGCCACTGTTTGGAGTCCTGTCTTGTTAGGCATTTTGAGAATAATGTCTAGCTGGTATGCAGTGGAGTCACTTGAATGCATCGCATGTCTTTTTCTAACAATGCAATGATCTCATGATTGTAACAACCGATAGTCGCCATCATGGCCTGTAACATTGAAAAGCGCGGCCCTTACAGCGTCATACTATGTATGAACGGGGGGGGATTTGGTGAGTGCCATATCCCCCCCACACTGACCGAGAATGCTAAGCATTATCCCTATAACGTGTGAAAATGGCGACGCGAGGAAAATAATGTACTCCAAAGTCAGTTTGCTCCCTCCTCCACTTTCTGAGGCGCCCCTTGACCTTTACAGCGACCCAACTGTTCCTCTTTTAAATGCCGACTCCGCTCCCACTGCGATGCCACCTGAAGTTGACGCTGCAACTGCGTGCTGTAGTCAATGGTTGGTAAACTGCGACAGTTCAGCTCTCGTGCGTCTCCATCGATGTTCAAGTTGGCAAACGAGGTCCGGATGGTCCTACGATAGTTAATGCCTGAAGGCTGTCGACCATAGCAATTGTCTTCCCCATACCCTAGATTGATATCGGTGCAAAGAATATGGTTTGTTTCCAGGAGCAGTAATCTGAAGTCATAACATAACTCATGTCCGATTCCGAGACCCGTGATGCTGTGGCATCATTGAGCCTCAAGTTTTTCAATCAAGAGCCTCAAGGCTGGCATTAGCAAGGCCCGATTCAGCGCTCTGGTTTAAGATCACAGCCTGTTGAAATGCTGAGCCCGAGTCTGAGCCAGTCTCCTCGGTGATGTGATGAATTTAGCCGAACCAGAGTGCCAGGAGCCGGCACCAAGCATGTGGCGGACGTCCCAGCCACGGTGTTCGGACTGACAGCTGTACACCTGTTAAAAGTGCCGTTATAAGCGAATGAGATGAGAGGATAGGCTCACCCTTCTCCGTGTAGGCTAGTGATGGCCCTGTGTACACTCGATGCCCTAATGTATGCGCCCGGTACTAATGCTGGGCCAGCATGCAAACCATGCCAAGCCTACGGATGGACTGCGCCTGCCAGGCCACACTTGTGCATGCTCGTAGTCTCGTGCACCTGAGGTGCAGCTTGTATAAAGGGCGGAGTACATGTAGCGCCCTATCTCTCAGCGGGTGCAGGCTTCTTTTTCCACAAAATTGTAGCAAAACGGTTATTAATATTTGAGGCTGGTAGGGTTACGCAAGAGGTAACGGCGCCTGTACCGTCATGTATTGAAAAGTTCATTGCGAACGGTTTGCACTGATGGCCTGGATTCAAACTGCCAATCAAAGGTTGTAGCATTCCTCCACCTCAGTTGTAACGCCCGGCGCAGCTGATAAGATAGTCTTCGCCGAATCGGTCCGTGCAAGAGTCAGCGCGTTACACAGTACGGCGGCGCGGCCACCCCGAGCCTGGGCCTACCCTCGCTGGCCAGCTGCTAGCCGACCTTTCCCGACCAGCCGTGCGATGCGTCTGCTCTCAGACTCGCGCCCAGTACCGCTGCTAATGGATCCGCAATCTTCTTCCAGACCACGGAGGCGAATTATACCTACAATAGTGGACTGTATTGGGTTCGCGGTACTAGAAGTGCGTGGCAGGGGGGAGGGGGGATCAACACCCGGTAGCGTTTCAGTGACGGTAGTGCCAGAGGGGTGCTTGCACTGGCAATGTCGGTTATTGTGCCGACGCCAGGTAGCGCTTTGAATATATTGGAGTTTGGCGTCGGTGCTGGTACCAGCCCTCTGTGCGGACCGCTGCAGCATTGACTTGTCATGGGTTCAGCGCAAGCACAGCACGAACCATCGCATTGACTCTTGCCTCTACCACCCGAACCGTATGCCGCTTATCTGTAACGTGCGTGTTGAACACTGTCCAATGGTTATCGGGCTCTGTGTGTGGAGCTTTCATCACCTGGTGCGTACGCTGCCAACAAGCCCCAAAAAATGTGCTCTGTGGCAGCCGATAACCGCACACAGCTGAACACAGCAGAGTCCAGTCAAATGCAGCATTTTGTGGTGCAACTGCTGTGGGTCGTTACGGAATCGGGTTAGGGTGGAGTGGGGAGCCAGGAACACATGCTCTACCATTGGACTAGTACAGATATCAGTGTGCTTGTAAAGAACTGTCGGCATGAAATAATCAAACTCTGCGTGCTAAAATAAGGATATTGAAAGTGTGCGATGTTGTCATACGCCATGCAAATAGTCTTGCGTGCCTGCGACGACATTAAATGTGCTGAGCTCGATTTCATGCCGTGCCCGACCTCCCTGCCAGGGTGCGAAGGAGGCGACACCGTGTAACATGGCGACGGGAGGGGCTACCGTGATTTGCCGGAGTATTAACGGCCTTTGGCCCATTGTGACGCTACCTGACTTTTCGCTGGGTCTTTCACTGATGTCATGGAAGCTGCGTTTGACACGGGAAGAAAACCTGAGCCTTGCTGTCAACGAAAAACGGTTCTGATGTGTTGATTCCTACCCTTCTCACAATTTGTCGTGATTTGATTTCAGATGGCAACGCAGGCTGTGCAGAACGATAGGTGATGTCATGAGCTTCGTTTACATTATAAGAAGCTTGCTGGCCTTGGACTGGTATTCGTTCTGTTGCTAGTTATCCGTCGCCTCCTTCTCAGTGATGGTAAGTGTTTACGCGTGCTTGGATTGTTCAAATATTGAACTTGCACCGTACAGTGTGTCTTGTGCGGATAGGGATTTAATGTTTGCATGTCCTCGCACACGGATGAAGTGATTCCAATCCGTGCCCCAGTATTCTAACCGTACCGGATATCCTCTGGCGTCCTGTTCTGTGTTTTACCAAGCCGGGCCTCCATTCCTCATCACTGATGATGACTTTCGTCAAGAGCTGGCGTAGTGAGCTTATCTACCGTCAAGACCCAAGATTTTTACACGCCAAACTTTGCAGGGTCGTAATTAATGAAATATCCGATCTTTTCGTGTTAAAAATGTCGTGTACCTTGTAAGGTCGCTGACCTATGGTAGGTCAATTCAGGCCATGGCTGTCAGTGGAAGGAATTCCCAGGTGATTGTTCAGTCTGATGCGGGAACGTAGTGTTAGTCGGGGGGCTTAACATCTTTGAGACGGTTCCTAGACAACCAGCATTTGGATACCATATTTTCTTTTCAGTTGATCTCTTGTGTCAGGTATAAAGGTCGGACCGAGGTCAAAGCCGAACTACATTTTTACTAGAGATGTCGCTTTTTGATGTAGTCTTGGACGCTCATTTTGGAATTCTTGATCACAGGGAGGTCAAAATATGTTTATTTTGAACATCATTGAGGTGCGTAGAGTTCAGTGACCTGGAATAACCTCGATCAACCTTTTGTTTTTAGGAGCATATCGTCTAGCGTAGTCCTTGACACTTGTTGGAATTCCAAAAATCAAAACTCACGATTTTTGGCCACTGTGACCTTCTGAAGTGCAAATAAGGTCACTAATCTGAAACGAACATCAGTGACATTTCTCTTAAAGATTATCTAGGTTAAAGAGGATTGCGTAACGAGGGCTGGGTAAGCTTTGCCATCAATTGGAAGGTTGACTTTGCTTTATCCTATTTGGTCCGAAGGCATGACCTAGGTGCCTCAAAATTGGACGCGTGTGAGTTTACATACAGGTCTATATATCCTGTGAATTTGGTGGTTCAAACTTCCTCGATTTTTGATATATTGGGGCCAAGTTGTACCCCCCCCCCCCACACACACACACGCACATACGAGCGTCGTGGTATTCAACTGACCACACAGACGTATGTAAATGTGTACTGCTTGTAATGACTGTAGATGTTGTGTTCTTGCATGATACCTGTACAATAACTGTCCATTAATCCGCAGGTTACCCGCAAATGACTTTCAATGGAGAGCCGGATGGAGCCAACGATTTCAATCGCGTCAAGTTTCAGGATATGTAAGTTAGAATCTGCCCTCTCGCCACCTTCGACAGCTTCTGCGGTCTTACCACCTGCCGTAGAGTGTGGGGGGTGAGGGTTGGGCGGTGGTTGAGAGGATGGCCCTGTTGACTTCACACCGCACGTGCCGATTGCAAGTGTTGACAACTGGGGTGGTGGCTTTGCATGGAATTTGCATATTAACGTTGTCGGGTTTTCGGGCGGTTTTCAACATTTCAGTAGTTAGATCGGATCATAGCGGGTAAAAACCACGTTTTGAACACATCTTCGTGCTTTTCATATGTCCACAGATCAAGGTTGACTGAAGTTAAAGCGTCCACCACTGGCATGTTGCTGGCGTGGTGTAGGGTCTGCTGTCGTAATGGGAGGCCCTAGGTCACGCTGGGTGTAGAGGCGTCCACTGGGGCGGATCCAGGGTCTCGTGAAGTGGAGGGGCACGAACACGATGGGGCTCCTCTAGGGTTGAGACCTCATAAAGGATGCTCGTATTCCGACCGTTCAATTTTAAGATTCCTATATCTGCTATTTGGCATGCAAGAACCCATCTTATTGTACGCAGCCCTAGAAAACTACGCATACTACATATGAACATACAGTGAGCTTTTCCATTTCCTCCAGGTCATAGTGGATCCTGTCAATGCTTAACTTGGTTTTTCGGAAAATGGCAACATGAAGTAAAGTTAGATGCTAAATGCCGTTTAAAATTAGGCATAAACTTGATTCCTAGCTTATTACGAATAGTCAGCTAGTCGATGTGGTGAACTGATGGCCGATGACTAATGCACATTTTTTTGCGCTGGCTTTTATGAACGGGTACAAAATATCTAGCATTCAGATTATCCTAACAGTGTGATGCTCAATTTTAACTCGTGTCAACAATTCAATAGGCAACGGAAAAGACGTATGCTACGTCGACGATGGCTAAAAATGGGCTCGGAAATTGCGCGTACAAATTAATCGGCGTGTAGCCAACAGCTGCTCTCAGCTGTTGAGGCACTCAGAGAATTCGTTATCCTGTAGTCATGGATTAACAGGGAGCTAGAATCGCTTTTGAACTAGGTTGGGAGTGAAAAATTCCATCGCAAGAAGACCGCGTGGGAGTGAAAAAATCAATTCACAAAGGACGGAACTTATGAGCTCGTGACGGATGCTTCAGCAAACAAAGACATCTATTTCAAGTTGGCACGGACGTAATATCAGAACCCTGACAAAACTATTTCGTGTTTTTTAACATTTTAGGCCATTAAAGTGAAACATTAACACGCACTCATTAAGTACATTAACACGCACTCGGGTGGGGGTGGGGGGGGGGGGCAAGTTGACCCCCCCCCCCCCGAGGGCCTTTCCAGAATGGTTTTTGAACGGCGCGGCGTAGTCGTGCGACATTTTGCATAGCTGTAGAAAATTGCATAGCGGATCGTTTGACATACAAATTTTAGATGTACCTTGTAAGGTCGCTGACCTATGACAGGTCAAAGTCAGCCCATGGTTTCAGCGAAGGCAAGTTCTAGGGAATCGTTCAATCTGATACAACAACGGAGTGTTTGACGAAGACATACGTATCTGACATGCTTTCTTAGGGCACCACAAATATTGAATGAGCAAATAACGAGCAAATAATGAGCAAATAAGGTCAGGTATGATGTCAGACCAATTTCAAAACCAACCTGATTTGTTACTCTAGGGCTTGCTGTATGGAATAGTGTCTGGTGCTCATTTCGAATTCATTGACAGCAGGAACTGCATTATACATTTTCAATTGACTTCTCAGAGGTCAGAACAGGCCATTGGCCTAAGACGTCCCGGGTCGAACGTTTGGTTGTAGGAACATACTGCCTAGCGTAATCTTTGTAGCTTATTCAAATGAAAACGCAGAGCTGTCTTGTATCACTTTGGTCACCGTGACCTTCAAAAGGTCAAACAAGGTCAATTACCTCAAGTGGGCTTGTGACCTTTTGCTTAGAGACAGTTGCCTAGGTTCTGGGGGTGCCTTAGAGACCAACCTGGAATTTGACCTTGTTTGACCTTATTCGACCTGAAGGTCATGACCTAGGAAGCTGAAACCGTAACCTAAGTGAGTTCGCGTGTGGGTCAAGACACCCTGTAAATTTGGTGTCGCTAGCTTTCTTAGTTCACGAGATCTCAGAGGGGGGGCGGGTCAAATTGACCCCCCACCCGAGCGAATGGTGTCTATCCGGCTAACCGGGCGAGTGTTAAAGCATAGTAATTTCATGGCAGTATTATGAGCATGACAAATTGTCAACACCAATAATTTGATGCCGCACTTTTCAATTCCCCTCCACAGCGCTTTTAAAACAAAACAAAGCAAAGGATTTCAATAACAATATAACAGCAAATTCAACAAGCATAAAACGCTCGAACAAAAAAAAAACATTGGACTCCTACACATCAGCCCATCACCAAGTACGGCCTGAGGCAAGTGACATAGAATTGGAAGGACCACAGATGAAGTTGGAAGGCCCATGAGCTTGTCGTGAGGGTGCCGACGCCGACCACGGCCCATGGGCAGCCGAGAATACCCGGCAGATTGTCATGTGGGGTGTTTAGAGCCTTTCTACACGCATGCGTTATAGCGTATAGAGCCTTTTGGGTGAATGGAAAGAATCCGTGGAAGGCCGCTGATCGATAAAGGTGCCCTGCATGCCAGCAGAAAGCGCTCCGACAACAGCGCAGTGCCCTAGGAGCAAATGCAAAGAAATCAAGGGGCAATGTGGAACGATCCTTAGCGATTGGATTGACCCAGCAAGTGGACATGTAGGGCTCCCGGGAACAGCGTAGGGCGTCCTGGACATCGTAATGAATCTTAAGATCTCCCAATCACCACCCTCTCAGTCACTGAAGAATTGTTTATGTCTGCTCGTAAACCCTTCACTTTCGCTTGCGACTGTTCTTGGTCGCCTGGAAGCTCAAAGACATCCGGTCTGTTGGGTTTTGCATGAAAAAACAACGTCTGTTCGGACGAGGTTTGAGCCCCTTGAAGCCTATGAATCTGTTCTGAGCCCAAGGGGGGGGGGCTTTGCCCCATACCCCCCTCTTTGGATTTGCCCTTGGGCGTCCACGGGTACTGCAATCTCATCTTGAGGCACGGCGTACCTACAATGACCTTGAAGTTGGATGACCTAGCACCTGCAATCTTCATTTATGACGACGGTACTGGTGTAATGCAAGTGTTCTACTGACCTCGTTGTTGAGGATTCTCAAGAGTTGACCTTGTGATTGTAATGACCACATTCATCGTAATAAACACAAGCCAATTATTTTGAGTTGCGAGATGATTTGATAAATGATATGATAGACTGGTTGGAAGCCAGATTTCAGATTTCACCTTATTTGGCCATAACCCTGAATGACCTCTTTGCAAAAGTCACACGCTTTGATGATGGTATTGGACATTGGCGTCATACCTCCAGAAGTATTTGGAGAAAGATGTGCTGTGAGGAAGCGCCAGTCTTTATATTCTTACCCCGTTGACATTTAAAAGTCATATATGATAGATATCCAGCGGGTTGCATTCACGCGTGACTTTATAATTCTTTTCGACAGGCTTAGCGCAGGTTATATGGGCGGTGAGGTCGTCAGAGAAGTGCTGCAAAACGCCGTAGCCACAGAGTTTTTTTTTTGTTTCTTGGTGCTTCGCATATGCATTCACAAATGCATATGAATGGGTAAGTCATTGATCGCAAACAATGGGGCTCTCTGACCAAGGCTTTCTAAAACAATGAGCTAATTTCCCACTTGAGTAGCCCGATCTGGCCTCTACTTTGTCTAGATCTAAAATCTTGGTGATCTCTGGTAGTAGCTGCAAGCAGTATTCTGCATCAAGAGGCTGGTCAAGTCACGCCCGCATAAATGATGAGACTTTGCAGGCAAGCCGTTTAGTCTGGCTCGGTTTTCCGATAGCGTTGTGATGTGGGCAGAACAGGACCCTCCCAAGGGAATTAACGTTGGGAACGCAAAGCTAGTTGTCAAAAGCGTTCACAGCACACCACAGGGCCAAACGGGCGCAGGTCTCGCCATCCGGGCGTCGCAGCGACATGGAACCGAAGCTGCTTGGCGGAGGAAGTCACAGACAGTCGTGTTGGTAAGGCATGAGTCGACTTGTGCACTGTGTAATCCGCGCACGTTGTAACGCAGGCCATGAATCAGCGTTTGTTTAGCCTTGTTAAGATTTGATGTCATATCTCGATCTTCAGAGCAAATGAAGGCGTGGAACGACCTGTACGGTCTAGGCGAACGTGCCGCATGCGAGGCAGTGCGATCGTAACAGCACCCAGCAGCTGCCCCAATATATGGCCGGGCCGAGGCTGCTGTCGCCTTTGTTCGGAGCCGTGTTAAATCCAGCATGAGGTGGCAAGAGCCAATACCGCGGTTATGCAGACCATACAGGCTGGTGTTCAGTTCAGTATGGTCAGTATGCGCCCAAAATGCTGGCGTTTTTCGAAAGGCGTGGTTACGGACATCTAACACGAAAATCGTTCCTTTCATTTCGTCTCATCGAAATTGTGGGGCTTGATCAACCTGGGTCAGACTGATAGCCGACTAATTTCAAGCAATACAACTTCGGAATAAGCACGCGGGCCCCGCATCGGCGAGCCCAGCCTTGACATGAGCATGTGTGCCAGTCGTAACTGGTGTGGCTCATCACAGAACTCTGTAACGTTCACGTCCACATCACCTCGCTCATTCCTCACCGCACAATCACGGATGGAGAACGCGTTATGACAGGTGGGGCAGCGATAGCACCAACTGCGTTTGTACGTAATATGGCCGTGATTTTATCCTATTCCCGCCGGAAGATGCCCATTCCGGCGACTTCCTCGCCGATTGTTGTCAGCATTCTCCTCTTCAGCGCACAACACGACGCACTGGTAGATATATGTGGATGTTTCCGAGCTTAAAACATCTTTAATGGACGGGTGCATGAAAAGTAACTTACGTAACTGATCTTTGGTAACCATGTGTGGTTTGCTATACTATATAACGCCTTTCATATCCAGTTTACTTCGATCCGCTATTTTGTGTCCGTATGTCATGCAATGTTGTTTTGTTTTGTGGGAATACACATTCATTACCTGGCGCTCCAAGCATGAAGGTGGCTGGGCGCACCTCAAAAACGTTTGCGGCACTGTTGGCCCGCCCTGCACTTTTGCGGTTTCGCTGTGAGACACAGCTGACCAGGAATAGGAGCCCAAATGAGCAACAGATACACATGCATTCCGTCAAGAAATCCGCCGATACTTTTGCGAGCGTGGATGTGTGACTTATGCAGCATGCGAATTGTGGCAGCGGCTACATCAAGTCTTCTTCAAAATAGTGTTCATGGCACACGCCGCTGGACGAGAACATGACCAGTTTAAACAGTCAGTCAGTCAGTCAGTCAGTTTAAACAGTCAGTGCAACAGCGTTGAGGCGACATGGGTATAATTGTAGCCCTACGATTGTAACGACTGAACACGCGTTGGTGGTACCAGACACGATGCATTTCACGACGAGAGTTTTGTCGAGGGAGTTGTTGACATCGGCTGTTCCTGACATACAGCCTGCGAGTCCACCCATCACACGGTTCGGTCATTTGTCCACAGGAGCGCGCTGGTGCCGTTTGAGAGCTTCACGACCCATAAGCGCTACACCCTCGACGTGCGGCCGTCTTACGCTATCGCGCTGCCATTGATGGAGCTGGAGAAGGACAACGTCGCGGCTGTCATTACCGAGGCGCTGGAGCAGAGTAAGGTACGTGCAGGGATACCTTGAGATTGTACGCAGAGAATAACATGGGGTAAGTTGCTGCTCCAGCAAACGTGGGAGTTTTATTTGACTACGCGGTCTGGCCGAATGCTCTTGGTTTTTCATATAATGGAGATTGCGACAGGTCCAGCACGCAGCTTGGTTCTCTCTGCGTCCCGACATGAATGCTGACCTTGCCGGTTTTTTCCAGCCCGTGACTGGTGGTGCCATCTCTGAGCGACACTTTCAATACGGCTTAAGCCGCCACCTGCCAGGTGTCGGCGAGGAGTACAATCTAGTTTTCCGCAATGGCATAGACGTCTTTTCAGCGCGCGTGTACAGGAAAGTCGGGGTGAGTTTTCGTTGTTAAACCAAACCGGAATGTTACGTTCGGCAATATGTATTCGTTGCATGTATTTGCTGTAGTTACGTTGTTATATGCTGTGCACATGTTATTAACAACTGACTTTCCAATCCAGACTCAGGAGTTTAGTAGGAATGTTTGATACGTTTTTTAAGGCTAATTTCTTTATTTTTGTTTCTGTTATGCACTGACACCACCATTTACCACAGCTCATGCTCGGTGTGCTAGATCCATGCCAACCCTAAGGGTTAACCGACATTTAGAAAGATTGAATCATGCCTTGACTGCAGATGAGCAATTGCGTCAGATGATGGCTTAAGTTTGGTGGGTGGCATAAGAGCAGGCCTTTCGTAGTGTAGCCAGGCTTTCTCCGCGCTATATTAGACGAGAACCTGGTAAGATAGCAGAATGTGAGCTGTGGTGGTATGGTTCCCATACCGCGTAGTCGGCCATTTTCACTCGGTAAGGTGATCTGGGGACGGTGTTCCGTAGACTGCTGATGTGGGACGCTGTGCTTGTGGCCGTGTCACATGGTCTGTCGGCCTTTGTTTATCCGCGGCGTGGTCTGTGGAGCCGTGCCCATTCCTGACGGTGCGCCTCGTGGTTTGATGGTCCGTGCCTCGTGATCTGTCGGCTTATGCGGCGCATTGCTCTGTGTCGCGACGCCCAGTCAGCCGTGGTGGCTGGTCGCGCGGGCGCGTCCTCTGGCGCGCGCGGTCTCGTGGTCTGCAAGCGCGCGCCGCGTGCCTGTCGACCCGCCATGCCGGGCGCCGCGGCCGCCGGCCCGGCGGAGAGCCGCCCGCGGCTCGGTGATGCTCGTGCGTGTGTCCGCGGCTTGCGCGGCGGGCTCGCCGGCGCGGCCCGGCCGCTGTGGAGCCGTCCGGGTCAGCTGCCCCGCCCCCGCCGCCAGGCGCCGCTGGTGTCGGTGACACGGCACGAGGCGTTGCGACAGCAGCCCCTCCACATCGTGATGCCGCTGTCTGGCCGCGTCCAACGGCTCCGGACTTTCCTGCATATGCTGGGCGCTCTCATCGATGATGGTAGGGGGCCGCCGCACAATCTGGAGGGTAGGGGAGGGCAGTGCGTGACAGTCCGTCCTGGCGTTCTCGCACTCAGGGGAGCACGGCTGGGATGGTGGGGACGCCAGCAGTGTTTGGGCCGTTATAGCGTGTTGCCGAGTGCGTGGAAACCGTCCAGACAGTGTCACTTTGGTGAGTTATGTTCGTGGTTGCATCGCGGGCTTCTACGCCGGTCGCCGCCCCCCCCCCCCCCCCCCCCAATAGTCAGGTATGTTTGAGAAGACCAGTGCCACTCCTCTCCGTCTTCCGGTTTGACCAGCATGTCGGACTCGAGACGGCAGTTTCATCGAGAATCATGCCGTGATCGAGAATGATTTCATAACCATGACGGCATGATGGAGAATCATGCCGTCATGGTTATGAAATTTTTATCGTGAACACCGTTTGTTACCCTCGGGCCCCATCGACAGGAGTATTGCAGGCAAGCGGAATGACACTTGAGAAGATCACGGTACTAGTGTTTCCCTTGAAGTACGATGAGTACTATCTTAACATTAATGCGCCGTTGCCAAAGGGTGTCCAAACACGGGCCACACTCTTTCGTGGTTACAGATAAAGCTGATACGTAACTTCCACTGGTGGTATCAGCCGATCGGGCTGCTATTCCACAGTCCGCAGACACCGGCGGGTCAGAGGTCATGGCTCGTTCCGAACGCTCCGCGGAGGGCCGCCGTGCCGTTGGGCGGGGATTCTGAACCTCCGAAGAAAGTAGAATGCAGTTGATGAATTGTTTCTGCTGATATTTTAGCACTTAATAAACTGGCATTGGGCGTGATGGGCAGCACTTGTTATCTAGGTATCTGTATCATTTATTGGTTTCTTCCAATATAGCCGGTTGGAGCGGGCACGCACCACACATTGCTGTTGGGCATACATGCTCCTAACCGCACCGTCGCTCCTTCGCTGTCCGTCCTCATGCTCCAACGCTGTTGGCGAAAGCAGCGTGTTGAAGGCCGTAGAAGCAGAAAGCGGCATGTCTCCCACATGTTACGAACAATTGGTGTCCCCCCCCGTGTAATTGTTTTCCGAACCGTACAGCGTCATGGCTAGGTGGAGCGAGCGAAGCGAAGCGGTGTGAAGCAGGTCATGTGGGTGAAGTGTCGGAGCGTTCAGTTTAGCAGGAGGACCGAACCTCTGTTTGAAGTTGATGCAGCCCATGCGTTTCCGTAGGCTGATATTTAAGGGTTCGACAAGTGTGAGGGTATTCTGCCCCTCCCCCGGTTCGCACGCCGACACGGCCGCTGGGTGTAGGCCAGTGCCAGTGTAGTCAGACTCATGGGATCAATTTAGATACTTTTATTGAATGTTTTCCCACATGTAGGTCGATTAAGGGTGTGCTGTACAGGTCCAGTGTATTGTTATATTTTTATACACTGACTTCACCTGTAAGAAGAGTGGTCTGTGCTGGCAGTGATCACAGTAAATTAAATTAATACGAAGTTATCGGGTTGTTGGGGTATATTCCTGATGGTCAATCATGAACGCTACTCCCTGTATGAAGAGCTGGTGCAAAAAGACAAAAGCGTGGATGCGACTGATAGCTAACTAAACTGACCCAGATCCAACAAAATCATGGTCGAGGGTTCGTCATCTTCGAAAATAAATTACCGATATGCCCTCCCTCCTCCTCCCCCCCCCCCCCCGCAACGACCTCGTCGACTGAATCTGCCTGCGTTCAGGACCACGCTTTTTATGTTGAATGCATACATTCTTCGGTGCTCTAATAACCTGTGAATCAGCTGTTTTGCTTCTCGTTATGCTTGAATATTGATAACATGTAGGCAAGCGAGCACTCCGACAGCCACTGACGCTTTACACTCAGTGGCGATGATTCGACGCGTGTTTTCGGCGCCGTCCCGCCCACTGTGTCCGCACAGCCTGACCATGCCTGCCGCCGGCTGGCGGGCTTCACAGGCGACAAACGTGCGACTGACGGTTGTGGCGTTCGCCGACGGGCCGAACGGCACGCGTCCGGTGGAGGAGGAGCTGCGGCGGTGGCAGCATACGGCGCGCGCGCGCCTCGTCGTCGAGCCGGGCGCGTTCTCGCGCGGCCGGGCGCTGGTGGCGCGGCGCCGCCGCCGCGGTGGCCGCCGCCGCCTCCGACCCGCTGCTCTTCTTCTGCGACGTGGACATCACGTTCACGGCTGTGGAGCTGGAGAAGTGTCGGCTGCACACCACGCGCGGCAGCAGCGTCTACTACCCGATCTTGTTCAGCCGCTTCAACCCGCAGCTGCAGGAGGCGCTGCAGCAGGGCCGGCAGTGGCCACCGGGGCCCGCCATCGGCCCCGAGACCGGCAACTGGCGCGACTATGGCTTTGGCATGGTGTGCCAGTACGGCTCCGACTTCGCGGCCGTCAGTGGAGCCTACATGGACACGGACGGCTGGGGCGGCGAAGACGTGGCCCTCTACACTCGGTACCTGAGGCCGCTACCGTGTCGTGCGCGCGTTCGACCCCGACATGGAGCATACGTACCACGGCAAAGAGTGTAGCGATAGGCCTGTCGGGCCGGAACGTATCGCTCCTGTGTTTTGTCTAAAATCCAGAACGAGGGCAGCAAGAGGCAGCTCGGCTTGCTGGCCTTCACTCTCGGCGGCGAACTGGCACCGCGCGCGCGCACCATCTTCCACCTGCGTTGGCACCAGCGCGTCGAGGGCTGGGTGGGCGCTGGTGCTAGCCGTGCTGCTAACGCTGTCCCTGGTGCTGAACGTGCGCTTGTACCGGCGGCGCGCGCCGTCCTGAGGACGGCCCGTCGGGCCGAGCCATGCCTTGGTGTGTCTAGTTCGCGCGGTCTGGCCGCCAAAGACGGCCGGAATGCCGAGGGCTGCTTCCCCTTGTCGCACAACGGTGGAGGCGCACTCAAATTAGCCGTCTGTATGCAGGTTTGTTTGCAGGTATAGTGTGGAATATCTGAAAAGCCGGTTGTGAGTTATTATCCGTCATGTTTCCAAAGCGGCAGGAGCGCACTCTGATTAACTGTAACTCATCCCAGTTTGTTTGAATGTTCAGCTGTGGCGCCAAACTGTACCTCGTCTCAGTTTGTTTGAGTGTTCAGCCTGTGGCAACCAAACTGTATCTGGTCTCAGTTTGTTTGAATGCAGGGGCGGTGCCGTGTGTTTTCATTGTGGTGTGGGGGGGGGGGGGGGAATTTCCCAGGGGGCATCTTGGAGAAAAGGAAGCCTCCTTAACGGCATGGGGGGGGGGGCCTGGTTAGTGTGGTATTCAAGGGAGAGGAGCACCGTGGGCATCTGCCCCCTACATGAAAATTCATAAACAGGTGCCTTCTAATTATCGAGCGAGGTGTCTCCCTGGCCTAAGACAGCACCATCTGCTCCAGAAATGATCTCATGCATGAAAGGGGCCCCTGAATTCAGAACAGGATAGCTTCAGATTTATGAAGGGGCCTCCAAATGTAACTAAGGGACATGGTTATCACAAAGCAGAGGCATCGTGGCCCAGTACCGCGGTTATCTGATGCGTGAAAGGGGACCGCTCGTTCTAGAAATCGGGCCTGGAAGAAGAGGGTGTCTCGTAACTCAGCACAGACCTTCCTAGTTTGTAACAGGGCCTCCCGAGCCATCAAAGGCTTTTTTGAGCCTCCTAATCTTGAGTATGAGCTATCTTATTTCGAGGGTAACCTTATGGTCCCAGAAAACGGACTTCCTGGCGCAGCAACTGGTCTCCTGAACACAACTTCTTGCTCTCTGGCTTAGCCATGGGGACATCCTTGATCTGGAATTTATAACCTGCCTAGTTTTGCTACAATGTCTTTAGTTCGGGAAAAAGCGGCCGCCCCGATTTAACTGGGGGGGGGGGGGGGACATGTTCGTGTTGCCTGCCGGAAGGCGGGGGGGGGGGGGGGGGGGGGGCAAACTTCTCCCTCTGCCCCTCCCCCCTCCCGTGCTGCGCTGCCTCAGGCCACGTGGAATACCGGGAGAGTCAGTTGTAGGTGAGAGATACATTCATGCCAACTGTAGAAGTGCACTCTTATTAATCGTATCTAGTGCAAGTTTGCTTGAACGTACCATGTTTAACCCGGGATAGTTGGATAAGACAGTAGTAATGGCCTTATTCGTCGGAGAGAAATCAGGAAAGTGTAGGTAAAGATGCGTTGATATTTCAGCAACATGCCTTTATTGAAACGAAAGGCAGATATCTCCATTCTCCTGTTTTTTTTCTCCGAGGAGTAGGAATTAATACTGTCTCATCTATGCGCATCATGCTCCTCGCAAATGCGTGTAACGTGAGCTTACGTGAGCAAAGGTTGTCGGCTGTAACTGCAAGAAAGTTGTGATTTTGATGTGATAGTTATGTAACCAATTGGTTGTGGATGTCATGAACACTGCATGCTAATGAACTGCTACGTAGTCAATACACCAAGGTCTGGTTTTGAGGCTTCTGATGACTAGCCGGCTGTTGTGTAGCTTCAAAACGTGCCAACTGTAGTGTTGGGCCGCCGACTATAAGCTTACTGTGATACGGCCAACGGCTTCTCCGCATTACAGCGACGTTTCAGTGTGGACAAACGGAGGGCAATTACTCGATCTGGCGGGCAACCGTCTAGCGAATCTCGCACCCCCTTCCCGATGCGTATCAGCCATGCGACGCTAAGTTAGTTTGGACCTGGCTTGTGGTCTGGACGATATGCTCCGCGATTTCAGGGCTGCAGCGGTCTTGGGGATTCACAGTTTTGTTGGCGCTTGAAGAACCTAACGTGAGAGTACATCATTGCATGTGTGAAAACGGTTATATTGCGTCCGTCTGCTGCTCGATTCAGAACCATCAGTCAGAGCATCGCCGAAATTAAGTTTGATTAATTATGAGACGATAGTAATAGTCTTATTCCTCTGGGGAAAAATAGAGGGAAATGGATACATAAGTGGGGTGGTATTTCGGCAACATGCCCTTATAAAAAGATAGAAGTGGATCCAGAACTGCCTGCTGACGATCCTACTCGATTTTCAAGGTTTTTTGAACAGTAAGCCACGGTTTTTTACAGGACGCAAACATTCAGAAGATTAAAGAAAGAGCGATTACCACCATTACCACGATGCAGTACTTGTGTAAGAATAAGAACAACGCGAGGATACGTGTGCATGCAAACGAATTAAAGTAAAAAGGCATTACGCATCACGCCTCATTTAAACATGCGAGCGAGTTGAAGTGGACAGACAGCACACATGTATCCATTGTACATGCAAATGGTTTCAATTGAACAGGCATTGCACATACTCACGCGCCACGCATCACTTACACGTGTAAACGATGTTGAGCTAGCGCACATCACATCAAGCTTCAAGACGCGTATCACGTTCGCATAAATCGGCCATAGGTGAGCCCGGTATGTTAAGATTCGGTCGCCGGTTTTTATCCGAATAGATTCAGTTATTTTCCTGTCAGGGCGGTCCTGTGCTTTGTAGATGACTTTGAGCTCTTGAAGGGGCATAGGATGCATCTTCCCTCGATTTCACACCCTGGCCGTGTCTTGCCAAAAAGGTCTCCGAAAAGGGACCCACCCGTTTTGTTTTTAGCTTCTCGCAGGTGGTTCATCATATCTCAAACAAATAGGGCGCGTGGTGCTCCCCGACAAAGGCTATGTACCTCCATGCTTTTTCACACAGTTCGCACTTTATTTTCGTAACAGCGTTTTTTGGCGTGCAAAACCCCCTTGAAACCCAGACTTGCATAAATCACATGTGTTGCCACCCGGGTAACCTAGACCTAGAGACAAAAGATTTCATCAGAGACTTAAGGCTAATTGCCGTTCATCCAACCTATGTGTGCGGGCAGTTTGATCTTTTAACTATGTGTTCGAGTTTCCATCCGAGCAGTTGCATTGGAAAACCGATTGGAAAACCAAATACATATGTAATTTGATTTGCCAACGCAAACGCTCATCTATGTAAAGTAGGATAAGAATCCGTCGTCCGCTAAGACGTGTTTCTGCCTCTTATCAAACCCCCCCCCCCCCCCAACGCACTGTAGGCTTTCTTTTTACTTCTTCCAACATTCTACCTTAAGTCCATAACAATCCATATTTTGTTTTGTACTCTTTCTTTCTTTTCACTACTTGACGACTTGTTCAGAGGCCCTAACGAACGTGTTACGAATTATGTTGTGCTCAGTGGAAGTTGGGATGCGCAGATTCGCAGTGTAGAATTATGACAGAGTCGGTGGGGCTCCGTTTCTAACATTGTGCGGTGGTTCCTCCTTTCTACCGTAACTAGTGCATCTAAATGTGGGATCCCGTTTCTCCGCACCCTGCATACCCCATCGTAAAGCTAGTAATCGAGTCCGTCTCCGGGAAGGTGCACACGAGCCGGCAGTCGGAACTAGACTGTATTTCCGTACTCCGCGAGACGCTCTGCCATCTACCGTTCGGTCTAGATACTACTACTCGCGCGCTATACTCGGTACTCGCACATCCCCCCACCAGTCATTCAGCCCGCGGAACGCGATCGAATGACGAACATAATTTTTTTCATACGCGGGGGATGAGAGTGTACACTAGAGAATTGGACACGACGAGTATGGCGGGAGACGCGATCACGGGCCGGTAAGAAGACGGCGGCGAAGCGCGGAGGCTACAGTGCGAAAATACGGGGTCGCATGCTAAATCTGTAGAAAATGCTAAATCTACCGCACACGGTGTGCCTGGCTACTCAGTCACATGGTCTCAGTTAGACGTTCGCGACGCCGGGTAGGCCGTGCAGACCGTCGCGGCGGCGCCGGGAAGACGTCGGGCGGCGCCTCTCCAGCCGGGTTGGACCTGGGGTCGGCTCACTCAGACGTCCCGAATCCCCGCGGGGGCCCGGCTCGGGCGGGGGCGGTTTGCCCGCCGCGGCGCCGGCGCCGGGGCGCGGCCGCTGGCAGCTGCGAGAGCTCGACCGCGTCCGGCCGGCTGGGGGCGTACCGCTGGCGGATGTGACGCCGGTTCCGTGTCAACACCCGGCCGCTGGGCAGGCGGATAAAGTAGCGGCGGTGGGGGCCGATCTCTGCGATGATGCCGTACCGGTCCCAGCGGCCAGTGGCTGGATTTGGGGGCGCTAGGAGTCCCCGTCCGGAGGACTGGCAGGCCCGCGCGTGGAAGTTGTACCGCGCGTCGATATCTTTTTCGCGCGGCCGCGGCCGCAGCGCGCTCGGCGTCATTAGCTTCTTGCTGCCAGCGCGGCGCGAACGCCCGTCGGTGAGCCGGCACCATGTCCCGCACGGGGGCGTGGAAGAGGATCTGAGCCGGTGATCGGCCGTCCGGGCCGTGTGTGTTGCGGTGTTGCAACATGCCTCGCACCCAGGCGTCGTCGTCCACATGATTTTGCCGCCAGCACCGGCGGATGAGTTTGGCGGCGTATTTTACCGCTGTTTCGGCGCGGCCATTTGACTGCGGGTAGTGTGGCGAAGACATCTTATGGGTCACTG